TTATTATATTAATGCAATATTTTTTATTATTTTAAATCGTTTTCTGATTAATTTTATAATTTATTTTCTAAATTATATTATAAATCTTTGATTACTTTATTCTAATATTTTTTTCATATTAATGATTAAAAAAAAAGAAAAAAAAAACTTAGTTTTTGATTAGAACTAAGATCTTATATTGTATTCATAAAAGCTTCGTTCATTTATTATAAATTTTCTTATCTAGATATACTTTCTTTTACTTGTATTTCTAATAATTCAATTTTTTATGTATAAATTGCCTTTTCTTTTGACCATTCTTATCCTTTAAGTTTAAGCTTTTTAAAATAAAAAATATTTTTATTTTTACAAATAATTAATTATAATTACTTAATATTTTAATTCATTATTTTCATTTTCAAATTCTGCAAATTTTTGTCTTTCAATTATTTATTAATTTTAGATTTCTTAATAATTAGCAGAGGATACCTATTATGATTATTAGGAGGTAATATCTATAGTAGATTAAGATACTGAATTCATATATATATATAATTATTTGTAAAGTTAATATATTTTTATATATTAATTAAACAAAAAAATAATTATTAAAAAATTATTATTAATGATATTTAAATTTTTTTTTTTTAGTTGTTTTTTTTATTTAAATATATATATATATTAAAAATTTATGTTTATTATTTATTTTTCGTAAAATAATATATACATAATTAATTTTTATTATATATTTATATTTATAAATAAATATGAAAATTTTTATAGAATTATTTTCTTATTATATATAAATAATAATAATTATAAAATAAAATATATTATAAAAAAAAACAAATTATAAAATATATACATATATATATATATATTACATGAATTATAATTTTAGTTTTTATACTCCTCCAAGTATTTTTTATTTATAAATATATTATAATAATCTTTTATTTTTATGTTTAAGGATCATATGCTTCTTAAAAACATAATTAAGTAAATTAATATAAAATAAATTAATATTAATATAAATAATTAAGCCCAATATATTAAGTAAATAATAATTATTTAAAAAAAAAAAAAAAAATTAATATATAAATGCATTTTAATCAATATAATAGGCTAAAGATGATTAAATAAGCAGTTATAATAAAATTTAAATAAAATAATAAAAAATTTAAGATATTAAGAATTAATAATAAAATATATTTTAAATTAATAATAGTACAGAAGATGCTTTTATTAAATAAGAAATCTAAAGCAAAAGTTATCAATTTAACAATATAGATTTTCTTAATAAAAATATTAGTAATGAAAAAAATCATCAATTTATTAATAAAAACGTTTAAAATAATTCTTAAAATTAATAATTTTTTAATAATTTTTCTAATAAGCAATAAATAGTATTTTAAATTATTTTATTTAATAAATTATTATTTTAATTATTTTTGTTTATTTATTTTTTTATAAAAAAAAGGAATGTAAATAAAATAAAGTACAATATCCAAGAGGAACATGTAAATTTTTAAAAAGACTTATATTAAGAAGAAAAATATAAGAGTATAAATAATTTTTATATAATAATCTGGATAAACCTCATTTAAAATAAAACTATATTATTTATGTTCCAAATAAATAAAATATTAATTAGAATATAATTAAAACTAATAATGATTAATAGAAATAGAAAAAATAAGTTTTTTATTAAAAAATATTTTATTTTATTTTAATATAAAGAAAAAAATGATAAATTATTAAAACATATTATTAGATTTACATATGAAATTTAATAATTAAGTTCTATGATTTTATTATTAATTAATTTAAATATATATATATATATAAATATTTGTTAATACATAATATTTTATTATATAATTTTTATAGACTTCAACAAAAACTAAATATTTTTTTTTATAAATTTAAGATAATAAAAAATAATTATTATATGAAAATTTATAATTATAAAAAAATATCAATTTTAATTAAAATATAAACATTAATATTTTAATATATTATTAAAACTTATAAAAGGAATTAATATTTTTTTTTCTGATAAAAACATATAAAAAACTTAACTTTTTAAAATAATAATAATAATAAGATAATAAAAGAAAGTTAAAAATAATAATTAATAATAAAAAAAAATACCTAATGGATTAAAATAGAATATTTTAGTGTTTTTGTGGATAAAGTATATCTTATCATGAAGAATTAGTGTTAAGATAACATATAAAAAAATGCTAAAATTATTAAAAAGAATCACCGTTTTAAAAGTATTTCTTTGGCTTGAATTTTTAAATGCTTTAGGAAAAACATTTAATTGCCATCAAATGTGAGTTTGTAAATTATATCGAAATATTAAATTAGGAACTAAAATAAAGTAACTTAAAAGTAAAAAAATTATATTATAAAAAAATAAAATAGAGGGATATTAGGAGAAAAAATAGCAATTAATGGAAATTTCATAATAATAATAATAATTTTAAGAACAAACTACTAATATGATGAGTAGTAAATTATTTTAAAGTAGTATAAAACCAGTAACTGCATTATAAACTGTAAAAAAAATTAAAATATTATAAATATGAAAATGATATATCTATATATAAATATATATATATATATATATATATATATATATATATATATATTATTAATATTTTTTAAAAAAAAAAATTATTTAGAGGAATTGTTCAACAGTACATTGTTTTAAATGTAATAAATATTTCGATTCTAATTTTGATAGTGAATAAGTTTATTATCTTAATGAATGTCTTCATTTATTTTGCAAGCCTTGCTTAATTCAATAAATTAACTAAGAACATATTAATTAAGGATATACAAGCTGTACTAAATGTAACAAATAATTGCTTGAATATGACTATATAGTAAATATTTATATACATAAATATATTTACTATTATTATTTTTTAAAAATTATAATAAAGAATTTATTAGGAAGAGATAAATATGAAATATTAGAATAAAAATATATTTAAAAAACATTTAATATTGTATCATGTGTAAAATGTAAAGCTTAATTTGAATTTTAAAATGGATCATCTAATTAAACTGTTAAAGATAATAGTGGAAATCCTTTATCTATGTATATATAAATAAAATTTTATATTTACATGACTTATTTTTAATTTTTTCTTATATTTTTTATAAATAAATTAATAAAAAAGAATTATTGTTATAATTCATTTTTTCTCTACTTTTTTTTGTCTATTTTCTTTAAGAAAAAAAAAGAAATATTAATGTTAAAAGATAATATATAAAATTTTAGCATTATTATTTTTTATGTTTTTTTTTAAAAAAAATAATTTACAAAAAAAATGAAAAAAATATAAATAAAATATCATATTTATATCATTTTTAATTTAATTAATAATAAAAAAATAGTGAATAGCAAATGCATTATGCTTAAAATAGGTTTATGTGTTAAAATATACATTGTAAATAAGAATAATGTAAATCATGTGGATCTATTCCTTATCATTTAGGACATGATTGTGAAAGTTATAAATAATTTAGATAATCAAAGTAAAATAAATATAAAAATTTATAAAATATATTAATATTAATATATATATGAATAAAAATATGATTATATATAATATATAATATATAATATATAATATATAATATATAATATATAATATATAATATATAATATATTTTTTTTTTATATAAGACGATGCAGATATTGTGACTAATCAATAATAAATATAAATAAAAATCAATTACTTGCTCTTTAAGATATATGCGAATAATCTGAATGTTAAGAAAAAAAGTAATTTACATGTTAAAAAATACTACCATGTAGTCATCCTTGTTATGGAATAAAGGATGAATTGGAATGTCTTTCATGCTTAAATGAAGAATGTGCCTCTAAAAATAGTTAATTAAATGATTAAAATGGAGAATCCTATTGTAATATTTGTTATGTTGAAGGATTAGGAGCTTCTCCGTGCATACAATTAGGTTGTGGACATATTTTCCATTATCAATGTATGAAAAAAAGGCTTGCTATTAGGTATATTTATATACTTTATTTTTTTTTTTGATAACAAATTAAAATTATTTTTATTAATTAGATGGATAACAGCTCGAATTGTGTTTAATTTTTGCTTTTGCCCTTTATGTAAAACTTGGATGGACTTCCAATTAAGTTGCGATTTAGCAGCTGAAATGAGCAAAAATAGAGCTTTATATGAAACTATAAAAAAAAAAGCTACTGAAAGGCTAAAATTTGAAGAAAGAATGAAAGACGAAAAACTTGTAAATCCTGATTCTCTATATTTTAATAATCCAGAAGAATATGCGATGGCTATATATGCTTATTTTATGTGTTTTAAATGCAAAAAACCATATTTTGGAGGACTAAAAGATTGCTAAAGAGGAATGGATGAAGACAAAAGGGAATTTAATCCAAAAGAATTAGTTTGTGCGAATTGTTGTGAAATACCAATTGAAAATTGCACAAAACATGGAAAAGATTATATTGAATTCAAATGTAAATTTTGCTGTTCAACAGCTTAATGGTTTTGCTGGTATATATATATATATCATATATATATATATATATATATATATATATTTATTTATTTACATTTACAAAAATAAAACATTTATATATATTTCTGATTTATAGGGGAACTACTCATTTTTGCGAAACTTGTCATAAAAGATAATGCTCTGGTGATTATGTGTCTAAATATACAAAAGATAAATTACCGAAATGTTAAGGACCAGGAAAATGCTCTTTAGGAGGAAATCATAAAGAAAATGGTGAAGAATGCAGTCTAGGATGCGCTTTATGCAGAAATATTAAAGATAATGCTAGAGATTTTTGATAAATAAAAAAAAATATTAATAATTATATTAATAAATATAGTATAAAATATTTAATATATAAATAAATATATATATATAACATAAAAAATAATATTATAAAAATAAAATAATATATATATATATATTAAATTATTTTTATAAATAATGTAATTTTTATTATTTTTTTCATTATTTTGAATAGTCTCTCTATCCGAAGATTGTACTTCCTATTCTTACTTCTGTTGAACCATTTTATATCTTTTATATTTATATCATATATTATTTTTATATATTTACTGCAATTTAATAATCAGCAGACATTCCCATAGAAAGTTCTAGATTATCTTCTTTTAATAAAAATTTATTTGATATATCAATTCTTAAATTATATAATTTCTATATATCTATATTAATATATTTTTTATTTTATATTTTTGTTAACTTAAAAAGCTTAAACATCTCCTTATTTCCCTATAGTCATTAATCCTGAAAATCTAATTTTTTTTGTTTTATTTTTTTTAAAAAAATAAATTTTTTACTCTAAATTAGGACAGTTTTTTATTATAAATTCTATTAAAGTATATGCATTTTCTGGTTCAATTCCATATTTGGCTATTTTATATATATTTGTTTAATTTTTTAATATTTTTTACATTCTTCATCACTTATTTTTATTTATATTAAAACTTTTAAATTTCTATTTTAATTTTGGCAGATTTTTTAAACTTTTTCGGCTAACCTTTTTTATTTTATTTTGTTTTATTTTTTTTATATAATAAAAATTACTTTATACTATCTATAGTTTCTATTATATATAAATTAGGAACAAGTACTTATTTTATTTTGTTTGATTACAAATGTCCAATAAAATGCCATTTTATATCTTAAGGAAGTTATGGGGCTTTTTCTGATATTTCATCAACATAGTTTTCACCAAAATGTCTTAATCCACTATCATATGCCTCTTAAAGAAGTTAAACGGGTTTAGTTTTTGATACTCCTACTAATGTACATCTTGTAGTTTTTTGATTTTTATTTAAAACTTCGTTTATATTTTCTTAAACTGTTTTCAATGCATTTGAGATAGATGAATCCATTTTAATGTTTTGTTTATATAATAAAAAATATATAAAAACTAAATAAATTTAAGTATATAAAAAATAAAAGGAAAATTATATATATATATATATATATATATATATAAATAATATTTTTTATTAAATAAAAAAAATTGTATAAATTAAAATTAAATTAATTATTAAAAATAAAAAAAAAATGTAATCTTTTGTATTTTTTTAGTAAAATATAATATAAAATTATAATAAAAATGCTATTTATATTTTTATTTAAAGGTAAGAAATTAAAAATAATAATTTTTATATTTATTTATATTCATAAATTTTAATTTTTACTTATAATTTCTGCTTTTACGTGTTTTTAAAAATTAATATTTATTCAAAAAAAAAAAAAAAAATATTCAAGAAAGAGAAAAAAAAGAAAGAAAATAAATAAATATAATTTTAATATAAAATAAAGAAAAAAAAAACAAAACAAAAAAAACAAAAACAAAAACAAAAACAAAAACAAAAACAATGAATTCATCCCAAGATTAAAATTCTGAATAGTAATATAAAATAACTAAAATTAAATAATTGAAAATAAATTTAAATTAAATAATAGTGATCATCTCTTTAAATTAGTTTTAATAGGAAATTCTGGTGTAGGAAAGTCTTGTATGTTAATGCGTTATGCAGAAAATACATTTACAAATAATTTTTATAACACAATTGGAGTTGATTTTGTAATAAAAAATAATAATAATTTTAATAAATTCGTTTCTTTTTTTTATTTTTATTAAAAAAAAAAAAAAAAAAGAAAATTAAAACGATTACATATCAAGGAAAGCAGATTAAATTATAAATAGTATTATTTATTTTATTTTATTTTTTTTAAAAAAAAATTGTTTTAATCAAAAAAATAAAATTAAAAGTGGGATACTGCAGGATAAGATAGATTTAAAACAATTACATGCAATTATTATAGGTAAAAATTTATAATTTTTTAATAAAAAGTTAAATAAAAGAGGTGCACATGGTATTGTTGTAGTATATGATGTGACAGATAAATAATCATTTGAAAATGTAAAAAGTTGGATGTCTGAAATAGAAAAATATGCATAAGAAAATGTTAATAAATTATTAATTGGAAATAAGAGTGATTTATAAGAAAAAAGATAAGTTTCTTTTGACGAAGGACAGTAATTGGCTTAAAGTTTAGGTATTAAATTTATTGAAACTTCCGCTAAAAATTCAACGAATATTGATAGTTGTTTTGAAATTATGGCAAAAGATATATTGTTAAGAATTAATATGATTAAAAGTTAATAAGATAATACTAAAGTTAAAATAAAACCTGGAAATAATATTAATTAATAAAATAATAATAATTCTGCATGTTGCTGAATATTTTTTTTTATTTTATTTTAATAATTGTGATTCTTTTTATAATAAAAAAAGCATTTTTATAAGCATATATAAAAAAAAATATATTAATAATAAATAAAGAAACTAATCATATTATTAAAATTTTTTAAATTATTAATTTATTATGCTTAAATTCCTTTTTTCAAAAATAAATATTATTATTAGTAAACAAAAATTCTGATTTTTTTTTAATAAAAGAATTTATATTTTTATTTTAAAAAAAAAATTAATAAAACCAAATTTTTATTATATTTATATATAATAATATATAAATATACATTAATATTTTAAATTTCATTATTAAAACTTTATAATATATTTATATATATTAAAAAATATATAAAAAAAGATAATTCGTGTTTATCTTGTTTAATTAATGTATATTATGTAATTATAAAAAAATTAATATAAAAAATAGTATATATATAAAAATGAATATAAATAAACATAAATATATATATATATATATAGACATAAGTTAAAAAATTTATAAAAATAAATATATATATATTATTTTATTTTTATTATTTATATAGTTTTTATTTTTTGTAAATGAATAATTGTTTTTTTTTATTTTATTAAATATATCTATTTTTAAAAATTTATTATATTTTAAATATTATATATATTTTTACATTTAAATTTATTTTTCTTTTTATAAATTATAATATATTATACTATTTTTATTAAATATTTTTTTTTAAAAAAAAAATTAATATAAAAATAATTTTTATCTAAATATATATATTTTTAAAAAATATTATAAAAATGAAAAAATGGGAAGAAATACAAAAAATTAAATCACATTAAATTCGTATAAAAAACGTAAAATAATCTTTTTTAAGTAATATAAAAATTGCATAAATACAAAACAAATAATAATCTGAAATTCCTAAAAATTTTAATACTGCATATTTGAATATATAAAGTTAAAAATGTGAATTACTGAATTTTTAGGAATATCCATTTTATAAATTGTTAAAAATATTCAACTTATAATAATATGCACATGAATTTATTTAAAGAGGAATAGGAACTGATTTGACAGATTTAAATAAAAAGAATTAAATTTAAATTGAAAACATATGTTAATAAATAAACGTATTTTTTTTTAAAAAAAAAAAAAAATTTAATTATATATATAGATACTTCCATAAGATAAACATAAATTATAATCCCTTTTAAATCATATAAAAGATATCATTACTAATTTAAATTTAGAACATAAATAGCTATTTAGTTAACAATAAAGTAATAGTTAAAGAACTTTAAGTATATAACAAAAACGAAGAAATGTTCGAAATTATGTAATTAATAAATAATTAGATAATAATTAAAACTAAGTAAAGCCTTTTTTGTTAAGCTAAAAATTAAACTTTAATAATGAATTCAATAAAATAAATTTAAATAATGATTATAGCAATACCTAAGAAATAAAAAAAAAAAATGAATTTATAAAAAGTGATTATAATCTTTAATAAAAAAAAGTAATTTCAGTAAAAGTAAAGTCAAATTAAAAATTATAGTAGAATAGTCATAAAAAGTTGAAATAAAATAAAATTGAAAAAATAAGATAATTCTTAAATTAATATTTAAAAAAAAAATTCATGTGAAAAAAATAAAATAATAAGGAATAATTTACCAATTTAAAGAAAAGTTATTTAACATTTAGTAAAAAAATTTAAAGAAAGTAATAAGGTAAAAATTTAAAATTATATAAAATTATAGAACATTTATAAATATTTTTATAAAATTTTGTATTTTAAATTCATATAATAATTAAAAATTTATCAAAAATTAAATTATTTAATTATTAAATAAAATGTATACAAAAAAATTGATTAAAAAATATTAATATATATAAAAATATATATATATAAATATATATGTATTTAAATACATATATATATAAAAAATTTAATTTTATATATATTTAGTCTCAAAACTAAGATGATTATTTTCCTGTTTTAAATTATGAAAATATTAAACATATGTATCTATCCTATGAAGGAGCTGAATTAACTTCGACTATTATTAATTTAGATATTGAAGAGATTTGTTATTGTTTAGCTTGTATTATTTTGAAACATATTACTCATCCTTAAAATAATTTTAAAACTTAAAAATCATCTAATAACTAAGATTTTGATAAAGTAAAAATTATTAGATATTTTATTAGTATTTATGATAAAAAAGAATTTAACTAACAAATATTCTTCAATTTCGAATATTCCTTACTAATATTCTTAATAATAATCGAATAATTTAGATCATAATAATTATTTTTCAAAAAAAAATTAATTATAAAAAAACAGAAACATAACAGAAAATTCCATAAATGAGTAAATATTTATAAAAAATACATAAAATAATAGTTAAGGAAAAATATAATTCTTAGAACCATAATATATAGATGACTTTAATTATTTATAATATCCATTAAATAATTAAGAAAATATAAATAGTGATTAAATAAACAATATATATGAAAAAACCATATATAATAATATCAAACAAGTAAAAAATATAAATAATTATAAAAAAAATATTAATGAATAATAAAATAATTACAATTAAAATTATGAATAATAATATAATAATTAAGAAAATAATAATATAAATAATTTAGAACAAATAAATACTGAATTTTAAATAGAAGAAGATAAAAATTTTTCAGAACTTTCTTATTGTTCTGAAGTAATAGAAAACGATCAAAAACATAACTTATAATTATTTAAAAGAGTGTTTGATTTTGGGGAAGAAAGTGATTAAATTTTGATATAAATTCCCTCAAATGAGACTATTTAGAACTTTTGTAAAAATATATTTATTTCATGTAAATTAGAGAAACAAATTCCTATAATTGCTTTAATTTATATTGAGAAATTTTTAGAGAAATCTACTTTTTAATTAACGGGAAAAAATTGGAGAAAAATAGCTATAACTGCAATGATTATTGCTTCAAAAATTTGGGATGATGAATCTTTTGAAAATGATAATTTTTCGAAGGCTTTTCCTTAGTTTTCGGTTCTTGATTTTAATGAAATGGAAAGGGTTTTTTTGAACTTTATTGACTATAATTTATATATAAAAGCATCTGAATATGCCAAATATTATTTTATTCTTAGAATGTATGCTAAGAAAAATAAGAAATCATTTCCTTTGGTACCTTTGGATATTTAGACTATTATTAGTTTGTAAAATAATACATAGAAATTATCGAAAAAACTTAAAAGTATGTATTAAAATAATAAATTAGTTAAAAGTTTTTGAATCTATTTTTTGTTTTTTTTCAAATTAATTACTTTTATTTATATATATACATAATAATTATTGTGTATATAAAGAAATTAAAATAATTATGCTATAGAGGGCAAATTTACTATATAGAAAATAAAATAAAAAGTACTTAAATTAATATTTACATTTTTATATATTTTTTTTTTTAAAAAAAAATAAAAATAAAAAATAAATAAATAAATTTAACATACACTTCCAAAAGATAAAATAATATGAATTCAAAACCTATTGATAAAAATTTAGAAATATTCATTCATGGATGGTCTGGAGCTATAGCCGGAGCCGTTTCAACATTAATGTTATATCCTATGGAGAATTTAAAAACAAGATTATAAACGTAAAAAATTATTATTTTTTATGAAATAAATAAATAAATAGTAATAAATAAAATAAGTCTATGTACTAAATAGTAAAGCAAGTTTATAAAAATGAAGATATAATAGGTAAAAATAAGAATTTATATTATTTTTAAAAATAAAAATAGGTTTTTATAAAGGAATGACACCAATGCTTATTGGAAATTTTATTTCTTATGGAATATATTTTTTTTGGTTTTTTTTTTTTTTTTTCTTTTTTTTCTAAATAAATAAATTTGTAAATATAAAAATTTGAAATAAAGGTATTAGTTTTTTAAAGATTTAATGAAAATTTAAAATGGAGATAATGTAGGATACTTAAAAGCCTCTTTTTTAAGTGGAATTATAACAACAATAGGTACAAATCCTTTTTGGGTAGTTTAAACAAGAATGATATTAGGTCATGTAATTTTTATTTAAAAAAAAAAAAACTCAATCTAATGCTTATATAATATATATATATATATATAGGAAAATTTTATATAAACTGTAGAAAAAATGTTTAAAAATGAAGGAATTAATAGCCTTTTTAGAGGCTTAAGTGCTTCTTTAATACTTGTTATAAATCCAATAATTTAGTTTATAGCATATGAATATTTAAAAGCAAGACTATCCTAAAGTTAAATTATTAAATCAAAGTTTCTTTTATTTTTTATTTGTGGAGCTATATCGAAAGCTATAGCAACTTTTATTACTTATCCATATTAAGTTATAAGAACTTTTTAACACGTAAATTATTTTTTTAAGAAGATTTATTTTATAAAAAAATTAAATAAAAGATTGATAAAAATAAAAAGTTTCTAAGTATAAGTGACATTTTAAAAAGCATTTATTAATAATAAGGATTTTCAGGATTCTTTAAAGGTTATTATTACAAAGATATTTATTTATTTTTATATTATATGTATATATATATATATATATATATATATATATATATATATATATATATATATATATATATATATATATAGGATTAACACCAAAACTTTAATAAACAGTTTTAAATAGTGCGTTCATGCTGGCTTTTTATGAAAAAATTGTAAATTAGATTACTTAGATATTCCTAATACTTTTTAAATTAAAATAAACATAAAAATGATGATAATATTTTAATAAAAACCTTTTTTAATCTTATAAAAATTAATAAATTAAAATAATATAATTTTTTAAAAGGATACATTTGTTTTTAATAATAATAGAAAATTTTATAAAATAAATTATTCTTTTTTTTAATTGTTAATATATGTAATTACGTGTAATAAATATAATGAAGTAATTAAAAGCTATATACTTTATATCTATTTTTATAAATTTAAAATAAATTTATATAATTATTTATTAATATGTTACATAATTTTTTATAATTAAAAAAAAAAAATTCAAAATATTTTTTTTAAAATTAAGATCTTCATAAAAATCCTTATCATAAGATTTTAATTTTCCAAATCCTACTCTTAGCTTATCCATATCAAAAATTGTAAGATATTTAGACATAATTAAATCACCAATAATCCAGAAACTATCCACTAATAATATATATAAATATATATAAAATATATATATATATATATATATATATATATATATTTTACTTATATTATTTATTTTTATACATATATAATATTTCCATATTTTTATTTTTATATATTTATATATAATTATTTATACACAAAGTATCTTATATATCCATAGGAAGTAATCCATTTATGCATTCAGTTGGATTTTTATTATGTTCATATACAGATTATTCTATTCCTTTAAAAGTTATAACATATTCTTCAGGTTAAATATGATAATAAATTTTATCAATTATAAATCTATATAAAAATAATAATATCAATAATTATAAATATTAAAAAAAAATTAAATTTATATATATAATCAAAATTAATACGTAAGAGTAGGCATTTAGCTAATATCTTTACATTATAATCCTTAATCATTTAAATATTAAGTCAGAATTTACATATCTTAACTTGGACCTGTAACTAAACTAGTTCCAGAATCAATCATAAGAACACACTTATGATCGTTACTACATAATCCAATATCATAATCATTTAAAAGAAATCCTTCTGCCAGAATACTCCAATACAGAGGATTTGCGACTTAATGATAATTAATTTCCCCATCTACAATTTTTTTATCTACTTTTCCAAAATCAAGATAGGATTCTTTTGATTCGTTTTTTCTATCTAAATAAAAACTAAACTTTTTTTCTTTAATTAATCCTTAATATTTCATATAGTCTACTATAGTTTTTTAATTTCCTGAAAGTTAAGGAAAAGCTAATCCTATTAAACCATCAAATTATCCCTTTTTATTAAAATAACATAAAATATTATATGATATTATATATATAAAAAATAATATATACCGATTCGAATGCTTATCCAAAATCTTTTGTTATTTGAAAAAACTAAACCTTCTTCACTTCTTAACCTGAAACAAAAAATGTATCAATTGCCATTTTCCCTCCTATTTCTCCACTTCCAAAATACGAATATGTTTCCGCATCTATATTTTTATACGTTGGTGAAAGTGTTGAATTGTATTGATTTCCTTTCTAATATCCTATATCTTTACAAAGTACTGAATTTAAAAAAATGTCGGTAGATCCTGTATCAAATATCATATTATATTTTTATTCTTTATATACTACTTGTATTTCTCCGGTATAAAAAACGTTCATATGGTTATATAGTTTTGTTATTTAAGGTTATTCTTATGTTTAGACAAATAAAGTCTTTTTTTATTGTTCTTAGTTTAATATTTGGGTATATTATCTTAATATTTATTTTTTTTTGTTTAGTTTTAGGGTAAGATATTCTGCTTTTTTGTAAAATATTGCGTTTTATTCTTGAATATAGTTAAATAATTAAATTTTGGTTTCAAGAGAATTGCCTTTTTTTATTTTTATTTTAAAATTATTAGTTTTTTAAGGCTTTTATTTGAATTTATTTTGGTATTTTAAATTTTAAGTGTTTATTTAAAGAAATATTAAAGTCAAAATAATTTATATTTAAATGAAGTTTTTGAACATTTTTTATTCTTTTTTTTTTTTTTTAGGTAAATTAGAGATAATAAAAAATATACTGTATTTAATTTCCGGTTTTTTAAAGAAAAGTACAGTTTTTTATTATAATAATTTGATTTATATTAAAATATTAATTTTATAAATTTTAATAAACATTACATTTAAACTAATTATAAAAATAAAAATTTGTAAAATTTAAGTTATATATATATATATTTTTTGTTTGAGTTCTTTATTTATTTTTTTAAAAAATTTTATATATGATAATTAAGATTTAAATACTATTTTTTTATTATTCGTTTTTTGAAATTAATAATTATTATTATAAAAATTTAATATTATTAAAATTAACATTTTTATTTATATATATTAATAATTTAAGATTGGCTATGATGGCTTAATTTTATGAGAAAATTTTGAAGATTATTATTCTATTATATTAAATTTAAAGTAATAAATACATAAGATATTGAAAATGCGAGAATTTTCTAAAAGTAAAAGGAATTTAAAAATATATACACATAAAACTATATGATATAAAAAAATTTAATTTACTCATTTTACTTAAATTTAAGTTTATATATTTAAAGTTGTAGTTGTAAAAAAAAAGTTCAATAAATAACATAAAAAACTAAATTATAATATATGATTATAAAAAAAATTTATAAAATAGATTTATTTATGTATATTTTTTAATAAAATAATTTTTTAAATTTATAAAAATTATATTAATTATTAAAAATAATAATTTATTTTTTTTTGTGGAAATAGAGAAATAATTAAATCGTATTCGAAAAATTAAAAAAATAAAATAATTTATAAATTTTTAATATTTACATATTATATATACCTTAAATTAATATGGATTATATATATTTATTTTATTTTAGAAAATTTATAAAAATAAATATAATAAAAATACAAAAATTATTTTTATTAAAAATATCAGATGATTTAACGAAGTTATTACGAAAAATTTATATGTAATATAATAAAAATATGATTAAAATTAATTAAAGAATTAAATGTTATAAATATTTTATAGTAATAATTTTATCTTTTAATAATTAAATGAAAAAACTTTTTAGTAAATATAAAAAAATTAAAAAAAAAAAAAAATTTTAAGAATAAATATATTTAATTTAAAATAAAATAAATTAGTATAAATATATAGTAAACAACAAATTAAAAATTTATGAAAATATAAAATATAATATAAAATTAAGTATATTAAAAAAATATAAAATTATAAAGTATATAGTTAAATATATATTTATATATTTATATTTATATTTAAATTTATTTTCTAAATTTTTATAATTTTTTTTTTAATTTTCTAACATACTTTATTTATATAATATTTTTTTTTTAATAAAAATACAACATTTATTTTATTTATATTAAAAATCTAATAAAATATATTTAATAACAATAAAATATAATATATATATTATAAAATAAAATTAATTATATATAATTAAAACATAATATAAATAAATATTTATTTTTTTATAAAAAAACATTCTTTAATATTAAAATATAATGAATTAAGAAATACATCAGCTATTATAAACAATTGCAATAGATAATTTAATGTAAATATCTTTTAATGAAAATATAATAAAAAGCAATTTTCAAACATTAATAAAAATTATTTCATAATTATAAAATGACTTAAAACAATGTGACTCTTAATTATAAACTTTTTAGATAATTTAAAATTAAATGATAACCCACGTAGAAGGAATCGAAAAAGATACTAAATAATTATAATAAAATGAAAAAGAAATTAAAAATTAATTATAAGACTAACTAAATTAAATTAATAAAAATACAAATTAAATATAAAAAGATTAAACTGAAATTGAAAAAAATGGATAATTAGTAGATCAAGCAACAGTAAAATAATTCTATATATATTTATATATTTATATTTATTTTATAGAAAAATATCGAATAATTAATTTAATTAGAAAATTAAGATAGAAAAGATATTGATTAACTACTTAATTAAGTACATGGATTAGATGTAATATTATTTATTTTTTATTTTTTTTAATACTAATTTTTTTTTTTTAATAAATAGAATTAATTAAAAGGTATTAATATTTCTTAATTTAGTTAACTTAAGGATGAATTTGATAAATATTTAGATATGAATAATTAATTATAATAATAAATTGATGAATTAAAATAAGGTTAAATTAAAAATGGAAACAATTAAAATAGTAAAGATAAAATTAAGTCTTTAGGATCTTTTACTAATGTAAAAGATTAAGGAAACTTAGAAAATAATGAAGCTTTAGAGAGTATATTATAAGAATTAAGACAATTAAAATAAAAATTTGTATATTTATTTATCTTTTTATTTATTTAATTTTTATTTTTTTATAAAAGGTTACAAAAGATGATCTTAAAGAAGATTAAGAAAAATAAAATAATTTTTTTTTAGAATAAATATAAAAATTATAAAAAAGAATTTCTCAAAATGAATAAGAATTTGACAAATTATAATAATATTTATATACATAGTATATATTTTATATATATATATATATATATATTTATATTTATTTATTTATTTAAGATTAAATGGTGGTAAATAATTATCAAAAGAAGATTTAGAAAAATTAGGAATCGGAAAATAAACTAATAATAAAAGATAAAACGAAGAAATAGAAGAAAGATTAGATGTATTGGAAATATTTAAATCTGACGTATTAAAAAATATGCACGAATTAAGTGATTTAATTGAATAATTAAGATAAGATTTGGACAAACTTAATTTAGAGTTTAATAACCATACCCAGTTTTATGAATAAGATAAATAAGTAGTCGATTAGAGATTAGATGAGCTAGAAAAGTTTACATTATAATGTGTAAAAAATGACGAGTTTAAAAGATTAAAAGGAGAGTTCAAATAACTAAGGGAAGATTAAGAAAAAATATAGAAAAAGTTAATTTAATTATATATAATATATTATTTTTAAATATATGTAAATATATATATATATATATATATATATAATAGTGTAATTAAATAGAAAAAGCCTTAAATGATCTAAAAATTTAAATTAATTAATCTCTTAAAAAATTAGGAGAATCACAAATACCAATAGAAATTAACTAGAATAATAATTTTAATAATTTAAATAATGATAATTTCGATAACTCGAATAATAATAATAATAGAGAAAATGATAATTATGGTTTCGATTTTTAATCGGCTTTAGATAATTTAAGAAATGAGCTTTTAAATATGATAAATTAACTTAAAGATTTAATTAATAGAAAAGCTGATAAAGATGATTTATATTGCCTTGAATAAAATATTTTCAGAAAAATAGATGAAATGAATCTTTTCTTATTATAAAAAATTAATTAAGCTGCTAATGCTTTAGAAACTAATAAAAGATTATTAGAATTAGAAAAGCATGTATTAAATATATATATATATATATATATATATATATATATAAATATATATTTATTAATATTATTATTATTTTTATTTTAGGTATAACATATATTAAATATCTTCAAAAAATAAGAAGAAGGGGAAGATGGATTACTTGTTAAAAGATAATTAAAATGGAGTTGTATTTCTTGTGATAAATCTTTGGATAAATTTAAAGGAAAATTAGGAAATTATTAATCTTGGGTATTTATATATAAATATTTTTATTTATTTATTTTTACATATAAAAAAAATAAGGCTGTTTTTCCTCCTAAAGAAACTTCTCCTTAAAAAATGGGAAGAGTAAAATATATTTTAGTTATTTTTAAAAAATAAAATAAAATAAAATAAAAAAGTATGGAAATTAATATGCTAAAGTTTAAGAATAAAAGAAACTTAATACACATCTTTAAAATTTATTATCTTAATAATAAGATAAATAAAGTCTAAGTTCTTCAGAATAATTGAAAAAATTTTTACCTAATTTATCTGCAAATGGAAGTCGTTAAAAAATAAATTATAAATAAACGCCAAGAAATTGAAATAAATTATATTGATTTTAATATATTAAGAAAAAAATAGATATTATATATATATATATATATATTGATATATATATTTATTCATTTTATATTAAAAATAAATTAATTTAATTTTTTTTTTTTTGTAATTAACAATTACAACTACAACAAAATAATTATAATGATAATAAATTTGTTGATATTCTTTTTATATTTATTAAAATAAGCTTTTCCATTATTTTTAGACAATTAAATACATAATATAAAGAAATTTCAAATAATATTATAACCATATTATTATGAGGCCAAATATTATAATATAAAATAATCCAAAAATAGTATTATCTTAATCAAAAATAATGAAGAAAAAGAAAATGAATAATATTATATAAGGAGAATAAAACTAATTGATATAATAAATATAAAAAACGAAACGCATTCTAGATATTTAAAAATGTCATTTAGTTTTCAAAATATATCAAAAGGTCAGGCCCTTATTGGTATCGAAACAACTAATTAAAATAATAAAATAAATAGTTTTTATTTTAATAATTTTGGTATGTTTAATATGGCATATTATAATGATGAATAAAATTTTGATTAAAATAAAGCAGTTATACTTTCAAGTCAATTAAAAGATGATAAAAATGAATTTATAATAGAAAACAAAGATATTATATAAGTTTATTATTGTAAATTTGATAAT